ATATATATATATATATATATATATATATATATATATATATATCAGAAACTTTAAAAACAAACAAAAAAGTATGCTGTGTCATATCATATAAAAGTTCATTCAGGTTTCAGAAAACTAATTTTTTGAACAGAGAACTAATATAATGTATTGTTAACTGAATATAAAATTAAGCACTGAAGTGTAAAAAGAGAACTCTAAAGTATTATGGAGGTAGGTGACTAGTAGTTAGAAAGAAAGAAAGAAGGAAGGAAGGAAAGAAAGGAAAGGAAAAGAAAAGGGAAAAGAAAAAAATCTTAGAGATGAGGCACTGTAGAACTGGGACTCAAACCTCTGAGGAAAGAGTTGGTTAATGCTGGTGAGAGGGTTGCGGATAAAGGGGCTAGGTCCACCAGTTAGAAAAACCAATCCAGCCACTGCTACCAAAGGAATTGCTACTGCCAGAGTAAAGAAGTATTATTGCTTGTGACCCTCAGAGGAACAAAAGTAGACAGGAAGGAGCATCTCCCAATGCCATTTTTCTTGAGTACTCCCTATTAGCAAAGCCTAACAGGGAAGCAGAAGGTAAAACAGAAACATTTGCAGAATTGCAATATTTATATCACAACACTGGGCATACTGTGGGAAAGATGTGTGTATGGTGTGGAGGAGGGTAAAGAACAGTGGATAGGGGAGGTTGGGTTTGATCAGCACATGCTGTACACATGTATGAAAAATATCACACTGAATGCCATTAATAATATAATTATACATTTCAATAAAAATTAACTAATTAATGGGGAAACAGTATACTGGTACACTATTGCCTTTGCAAAGGTGAAATGGAGGCTAAGGGCAGGGACAGGAAGAGTTGCTTCCCTGTACCTTTCATACCTAGTGGATTTTGTATGTGTGAATATCTCACCCACTCAAAAATGGACTAGTTTTAAAGAGAAAAGCAAAAAAAATTAAAATTGATTAATATTATTTCAAGAAGTATAATGTGGACCAGGTGCAGTGATGCATACCTGTAATCCCAGTGGTTTAGGAGGTTGAGGGAAGAGGACCATAAGTTCAAACCAACTTGGCGAGGCCATAAGCAACTGAAACCCTGTCTCAATAAAAAAGTGGCTTGTGGTTCAGTGGTTAAGTGCCTCTGGATTCAATCCTCATTACCAAAATATATATATATATATTTTTTTTTTTTTCTCTTATTTGCCAATTGACATTTATAGGGTACTAGGTACTATACCAAGCACAGAATAATGACCTAAAAAAAAATTCTGTTCACTGAGTCTTTTACAATTAAACCTAAAGATTGATGACAGCAATATACAATGGGTACTGCAGACATACAGAAGGACATTTAGTACAAATTAGGATGCCACGGGAAGGCATTCTGAAAAACAATGTCTCTTGAGGAGATTAAAAGGGAAGCTCAGATGGAGGATTGTTTGAACTAAGGGCAAAATCCCAGGCAAAAGCAAAATGAAATTTAGGGTATAGTGAGGGAAGTGACAAAACACAAGTTGAACATAAGCCAGAAATGTAGAGCCTTCTACACCATGCTAAAGATTTGGATTTTGTCTTGAAATTGATAAGGTTAAATGAAAATGATAGTAAGATTTGCATTTTAAGAAAAAAACAGATGATGTAATGAAGTATGAAAAATGAACAGGATGCTAATTAAGAGACTTTTCCTATAATCCAGGAAAAAAATGGCAAGGCTAAATTGAGTGTGGCAAACCAAAATAGCCAGATTTTTAGATATTCTGAAAAAAGATGTGGTAAAAGCTATACCATCAGATACTAGCCTTCTTTCAGACTTTTTGTGATAACAAGTCTTTGTTACTTCAGGGACCTATACATATGCTCTTTTATGGGTGGAACACTGCCCATTCTATCAAAACCAGATTCTTTATTTCTCTCTAGCAGTATAGTACCCTCTTCTTTTCCTTCAGTATACTTAGTACTTATTTTAATTCACACATTTGTATGTTTACATTTTAAACATATAACTCCTGCTGTAGAGGAACATGAAGGCAGGAACCATGTCTAACTACTGAATCTCCAGTATCTAGTACAGTGTCTGCAAACAGTAGGCATGAATGATTTGTTCAAGGAATAACTCATATGTTTATAAGTTAACATACGAGTTATTCTGGTCTTAGTGAATAGCATTATCCATCTATCAAGAAAGATGGATAATGATATTCACTAAGACCAGAAACACAAAGGAGAGGCAGAAATTAACAATTAGCTATTGCTTACTTTCAGGGTCCCATTAATCTAGGCACCTTGCTCCTCCAATTTCCCTGAACCTTCTCTCTTCCTTATTCTTGTCAATATCTTCCTAATTTTCTAGTCTTGTCGAAAAGCTCACCCTTTCCTTTTTTTCAAGTTACATTTCCTTAGAGACTTACTTCCCCCAAGTTGCTTCTTCTGACTGCCTCCAAAGTTACAGTCCCTGTCAGAAGAAAGAAAATTCAAAGTTTGGCACATGTATTGCCTACCTGGTGATAAATTTCTGAAATGCCAGCCTAGGAAAATCCCACCATAAACATGGAAACTCCATCCTCCCCAACACCTAGAACCCAGCATTGTCTGGGCAACTGTTTAAATGCAAGTTGGAATGAATTAGAAAAAACATCTAAGACTGTATCCTCGTTATCTATTGATTGTGTTAGCCCACACAATTGACTATGTTCGTATAAGCTCATTTCTTCAACTGTGAAATGGAGCCTACTCTCCTCAAAAGCTCAGATTGTCCAGGTTGGGTGATAACGAAGACGATATGCTGGGCCTTTTAAAATTTTGCAAACAGGTTGTGGACCAGAGAAAAAAGATCGCTCGGGCGCTAAGTGTTAAATGCATTCACATTCATTCTTAAATCTTCACAACAGTTCCCGAGGGATGTAAATTCTGCGTTAGAATTTTTCTTGTGCTCTATTCAGCATTTCCCTCAAAACTTTAACCTAATGCGTAAGAAAAACAAGGCAAATTAAAGAGGATTAGCGGGCCCCTGTCAGGGATCGGCGCCTGAAGAGAACATCGAGCTCAGCCAGCCAAAACAGCGGTTCAAAGTGTGGATCGCGCAACCTTGAATCTCAGTGCCCGCGGGATGCGAGTCCCGGCTGAGACGAAGAAATCCTCAGTCTTTAGTAGAGTCGCTTGAAGAAGGGCCCCCGACAGCTTATTCCTACCCAAACAAATCTCAGAACCGACACTGAGAATGGGCGGGAAAGTCCAGACGCCAGAAATTACGCCACCGTATTGATCAATTCCGCTGTCGTTCCCAGTGTCCAGCCTCCTTAGCTCGCGGGCGATGTTTTCATTGGCTCTCCTTCGCTTTCATTGGTTCGCCCTCCTGTTCGTCAGGCTCCGCGCGCGGTGAGAGGTGGAGGGAACGTCAGTGTTGGGGTTGTAGGCCCCGCCTCCGCGTGCCGTGTGCAAAAACAAACAGCCGTTAGGGAGGAGGTGCCGGGGGCGGGATTCTAGTTAGAAAAAGGCTCACTATTGGGCAGATGCCGGGGTTCAAACCAGCAAGGTGGGCGGCCATTGGCCGCAGTGGCGCGAGGCGGGCCCCGGTTATTGTCCCGACCGGCGGCGGCGATCGGAGCTGCGAGAGCGGCTGCGGCGGCGCGGGGCGGCAGCGGGTGGTCGCGCGGCCCAGCGAAGGCAGAGGCGGCCGAGACCATGGTGAGGGCGGGCGAGCGGCGAGGGTGTCGGCGCGGAGGCCGGCGTCAGTGTCGCTACCTGTGGAGTCGGGAATTGGCGGGCGTCGGGGCCGCGTCCGGCGGAGCCTCTCCCCGCTCTCTGGGGGGCCCGGGCCGCGGAGTCCGTGGTGGGTGGCTGCCTGATCGCTGGGCAGGGCCAGGTCGGGTGCGTATTCTGCCCCGAGCAGAGCAGATCTGTCCCGATCCGGTCGGCCCAGCGACGACAGAAACGTCAGAAACGTCGCACGCCAATCTGAAACGGGAACGCCAGAACCCAACGGCCGGATCTGGCTTGGAAAGACAGAAACAAGTGCTAGTGCGCTGACGCACGAATGAGGTCAAGCAGGAGCCGCTGTACAAGTTAGAAGTCTTTGGCGTTGTTTGGTTACGTAATCTCCGGGCCATAAATTTGAGGTTTTCTGCGAAAGGAGCTTGTATTCGTGGTCCTTTGAGTCAGAAAGAAGGGTATTACGAACCAGAACCTCACGATTTGTTCTAGGTGATTGCATGGGTTTGAGATGAACGGCCGTTATCCTCTTGACTCCCTTGCAGTTGCTGTTTATTCACTGTACAACAGTGCTTCCTTTGCCTCTGCTGATTTTTGATCTTACATATTTTTTATTATGAAATCCAGATCTATTTAAGACAAGTGAGTTTTTTAAAAAAATGGAAGTAAATAAAAACTTCATTTCCTTTGTAAAATTGAGGAAAGGACAAAAGTGTCAAAGGATAAGCTGTATGCATTGCATTTAGTCTGTAATAATGACACTTGCGGAATCTTATTTATGCCGGTATTCCTGCTTTAAGCATCCTAGGACACGTAACTTCAACTGGAGAGACCTGCTTAAAAGTTAACCTCAGGCTTTCATTTGTTTGTGGGTGTTTTTGTTTTGCAGTGCTGAGGATGTCTTTTCTCATACCACAGATAGTATTAGATGACATATCCTATCCTATGCTTGAGAATTACACGTGTGGAATTTAATAGACTAACACCTAACTATAAGCAGATTGGTCAATCGAGGACACAGGTTTTGGTTATTGTAAAATTCTCAAAAGTAGAATTGAAATAGAACTTATGAATAATTGCATCCAACCTCTGGAATTTATAGTTTCCTATTATATTTCACAAACTGAGGTGCAGGTTACATCTAATCTGTAAATTGCCTCAAGCTGATGATTTTCATGAACCTTGCTAATTTTTAAAGATGTTTTTCCATCTGTAGTTATATGTATTAGATATACATTTACCAGTAGCTAAAAATACATAATCATTAACATAAAAGTATTGGAGGCATGGAGTTGTCATTCTTGAAAAGATTTTAAACTTGAGGGGGAGTAAATATGTATCTATTAAATCAATATGAAAATATCCAGTGTCCAAGTTTTTCTGAGTGAAATATACTCCAGCGTGCACCTTATCCTTCATATATATAAATAAATTTTAACCAAGGGGCTTAATGCATTAATGATACATTCATTTCTTAGAATAATAATTTTTATGTTGCTTATTTTTGTTTCCTCAGTCATCAGCTATATGAATGTATACAATTGGGAGGATAAACAGTTTGAGGGGGTTTTAGAAAATAATTGTACAATTATTGTACAGAAAATTGTACTTATGTACAATTTTATATTCAGACAGGTTTAATACCATAAAGATTTGTTTTTGTTAAGTGTAAAAGATATATCTGGAAGGCTAAGATGGGAGGATCACAAATTCGAGCCTAGCCAGTCTCAGCAATTTAGCAAAAGCCTACCCTAAGCAACTTAGACCCTGTCTCAAAAAATGAAGAGGGCTGAGGAATGTAGCGCCCCTGGGTTAAATCCCTAAGTATCAAAAAAAAAAGAAAAGAAAAGAAAAAGAAAGTAATATCTGTGGAGTCTCCAAACCTTGGAAATAATCATTTAATAATTTAATGCACTTGATGTATTGAGGGTTTGTTTTGTTTTGTTTTTAAAATGGGATCTTGCTATATTGTCTAGGCTAGTGTCCCTGGGTTCAAGCAATCCTCCTGCTTCACCTTCCCAAAGAGTTGGGACTATAGGCATGTGTGCTATCACACCCAGCATATATTAAGGCTTTTAAAAACTGATTATAGTCAAGCCTGGTGGTGCTTGCCTGAAATTCAAATGACTTGGAAGGTAAAGAAATAAGAAGATCGAAAGTTAGAAGCCACCTTGGCAACTGGTTGAGACCCTGTCCCCCCCAAAATAAAAAGTATTGGGAATGTACTCAGTGGTAAAGCAACCCTGAGTTCCACCCCAGTACCAAAAAATAAAAGCTGATTATACATCTACTTCCTTAAAAAGCAAATAGAATGGCAAATAGAACAAATTTAAAACAGGGTAAAATTGCTTAAGCAGAGTAATTATAACTATATAAATTGAGAAGCCTGGGGAGTTTTGTGGTTAGTAGCTTTTAGTTAATAACTAGTTCTTACTTTTTTTAATCAAGTTACGAGGAGACAATGATTATAATTTTAGATTCATGTACCATTTAAGAGGTTTTTACATATTTTTTACTTGTATAAAGATGAAAGGGGTTTTTTAAATTTAGTAGATGAGAATATCTTATTAATGGAGATGACTTCAAATAAAAGATGATGCAGTATCTTTTTCTTATGTAGCAATATAGTCAGAAATTATTAAAATACTGAGGCATCCTCATAGAGAAATCTGGAATTTAAGTTCTCCCTAGTAAATGTAAATCTTGCCGAATTGTTTTAATGTAAGAAAGAGAATGTGAATTGATTTGTAGACGTTTTTTTCCTGCTAATACCTGCCCAGATGGTGCTATTTCATTCTACACCCCACCCCCACTATCAAAACACACGGGATTGGGGGAAATTAGTGTTTGATCCATTGAGACTTGCAGACAAGACGAGGTTGATTATAGATAAAAATAAATTTTTAAGGAAGGCATTACATAGAGAATATGCCATCTCAAAATTTGCCTTCTGGGGCTGGGCCTCAGTGGTAGAGCGCTCACCTAGGATGTGCAAGGCACTGGGTTAGATCCTCAGCACCACATAAAAATAAATAAAGGTATAAAAAAAATCACATCAATATTTTTTAAAAAATACGCCTTCTACGTTGAAAGTATAGACTCTGAAGCTACCAACCCTGTAAACTGACTATTTTTTTTACAAGGTTATTTGTTTGTTTTACAGATTTAAATGGCAAAATCAAGCCAGGCCAATGGCACATGCTTGTAGTCCCACCCACTTGGGAGGCTGAGGCAGAAGGATTGCAAGTTTGAAAACAGCCTTGGCAATTTTGCAAGACCCTATCACAAAAACTAAAAAGCGCTGGGGATGTGCCACGGTGATAGAGAATCCTTGGGTTCAATCCCCTGTACTATTAGAAAAAACAAAAAAAGCAGAAGCAAGTAATAGAAAAAAGAAAATTGAGTTTCTCTCTTAAATGAAAGCTCATAGCTTTTGCACATACACTGCCTTTGTTGCATAGAAATAGGATTTGTAGATTCTGTATCATTATACACACACACACACACACACACACACCTCATTTGTTATAACTGCTTAGTAATTCATTGTATTTAGATACCATAATTATTTATATAATTCTCCTACAAAGTGGACATTAAGGTTATTTGAAAGCATTTATTTTCTATCAGTCAAAAGTAGGATTTGTTTAATCCCTTTAATAGAAGTTTATGTATGTGGTAAAATCTATAACAAAATTTATTTTTTTAAACTGGGAATAGAACCTAGGTATACTCTACCATTGAGCTATATCCCCAGCCATTTTTTTCTTTTTTTTTTTGAGACAGGGTCTTGCAGACTCGCTCAGGGGTCTTGCTAAAGATTACCTTGAACTTGTGATCTTTCTGCTTCAACCTTCCTAATCACTGGGATTACATGTATGCAACCATGCCTGGCTCCATTTTTAAAGAGTACTGTTTAGTGATATTAAGTACATTCACTTTGTGCAGCTATCATCACCATTTATATCAAGAACTTTTTCATCTTCCCAAACTGAAACTACCATTAAACAAAAATTCCCCTAGCCCCTGGCAAGAAATTCTACTTTCCGGCTATGAATTTTACTACTCTATGATCTAAGTGGAGTCATGCAGTATTTTTCCCTCCCCCGCCACCCGCCCACCTTTTTTTTTTTTTTTTAAATGGTACTAAGGATTAAATCCAGGGCCTTAAACACACTAACACAAGCTCTACCACAGAGTGATACCCCTTTTTATTCTGTTTTGAGACAGGATCTCACTAGGTAGCCCAGGCTGGCCTTGAATTTGGAATCTTCCTGCTTCAGCCTCATGAGTAGCATATACCACCACACCTGGCTAGTATTTTGTCTAATGGCTAGATTTCACTTAGCATAATGTCCTCAAGTTTCATTCATGTTGCAGCATGTGTTGGGATTTTCTTTTCAAAGCTAAATATTATTCTATTATATATTTTATTTTGTTTATCAATCAATGGACAGTTTTATTTTTCCTTTTGGCTACTGTGAATAATGCTGCTGTAAACATGGATGTATAGATTCCTGTTTTGAGTTCTTTCAATTTGGGGGCATATACCTAGAGGTAGAGTAGCTGAATATGTTTTATCTTTTGAGGTTTATCCTCTCGCCCCCCCCCCCTTTGGTAACATACTTATTTCTTCCAGAAGAGCTACAATTTAAATGTTTCTGTGAAAATAATGTTATATTGACATTTTAAAGAAAGTTTTTAAATACATAGTATTTCAGGTATGCATAAAAGTTACTGATTTGTAAGAGTCATGGATCAGAAAGTTGAAAAATATGTTCAAATTCTAAAATTTAGAATTTTGGAGTATTACACTTTCAGTAGATGATAATGTTTGATATCTTTGTATATAAGTTAATTAAAGGAGATATATTTACAAAGGAAGAAAGGAGATCACCTAGATATTTTTAACTATCTAAAGTAAAAGTTTCCTTTTTTTTTTTTTGAAGTAGCATTTTAATTCTTCATCCAATACTTTTTTTTTTTTTTTAATGTAGGCTGGAGGCAAAGCTGGAAAGGATAGTGGGAAGGCCAAGGCCAAGGCAGTGTCTCGCTCACAAAGAGCTGGACTACAGGTAATGAATGTGTGCTGTTATAGTTCATTTTTAAATTATTTTCTTTATTGTTGTATTTCATGACCCATAAGAACATTTTTAAACATGGAAGTTGGAAGTTCAGACTAAAATTTAAGTTTAGTTTTATCCTTTTGGTAATGGTGAAAGTTTGAGCAAATGGGTGACATAATCCAGGTGACCCTAAAGGAAGGGGGAAGGGAACTTAAATTTGATGCACACATTGTGTATTTTAAGGCACCATGTAAATTCTCAATTAGAATTTATTTGAAGCATATTTAATTTGAAGTGTTATGGAAGTCAGATGGTTTATAAACAAATTAACATGTACTTAGAGTGGGATGAGAAGGAATAAAAAGCATGTTTGCAGAAAATGGAGAATAAGGGTTTAAAGGCTTAGAACTTAAGGCACATAGACATTTGTAGTAGGGTTATATTATGAGTTAAATTTAAGTGGGATTATTTTGAAGTTCACCAAAACATCCATGTGGAAATGTCCAGAAGTTGGAAACATGAGTCCAGCTTTCTAAGACTAGTGATAGAATTACAAACTTGAGATCATTTGTGTAAAATTGATAATTCATTCTGTAAAAAAAGTTTCCTAACCTGTAAATGAGAAAGGAATACAAGGATTCATTGGTGGATCCAAAGACTGAGGAATCCTCAAGAGGTAGTATTAGAATACCAAATAAAGCAGGATTTAGACTACAGTATTACTGTAGCACATATACATATGAAGTGTGCATATACATATGTAAGTGTAATATGTAATACATTTAATGTGTACACTTATATACGTAGTATAGTAGTACTACCTATTCTTATTAAGTATGTATACATATTAAGTGTACATATATGTATGTGCACTTAAATACTATGTTATCATTCCCCCTGCTCAAAATAGAGTTCTTTCTTAATTATAGCTCTCTGTTATATACTGACTGCTATAGCAGATACACAGTTCTAATGAGGAAGAGAGAAAATAGCCAGATACCATGCACCTGTACTGCCAGCTACTTAAGACAGGCAAGAGAATCTTAGGTTTGAGGCCATTGTGGGCAACGTAGCAAGATTCTGATTTTTTAAAAGAAGTCAGTGATGACCTCTGAGTAGTATTGATGCCTACAAAGAAAGATTTTGAGATCCTACTATGTGCCAGACAACGTACTACTCACTAAGAATGCAAAGGGGAATAAGGTATGGATTTTGCTTTTAAGAAGCCTCATAATCACTTAGTTGGGGGAGCGGGGAATGATTTTTCTCCTTATCTGGAAGTGACTGCTAGACTTCAAGGGCAATATTCTTTAGAAGTCAAGTCTAGGTTGGGAGAAATGATGACAAGAAAGTAAGGGATTAGGGAATTTTTTGGTTTTTCTGTTTTTTGCCGTATTAGTGATTGAACCCAGTGCTCTCTACCACAGAGCTACATTCCCAGCCCTTATTTTTAATTTTTTTAAAAATATTTATTTATTTTTTTTTTTAGTTTTCAGCAGATACAACATCTTTGTTTGTATGTGGTGCTGAGGATTGAACCTGGGCCGCACGCATGCCAGGCGAGCGTGCTAATGCTTGAGCCACATCCCCAGCCCTATTTTTTAAATTTTGAGGCAGAGTCTTAATAACTGTGGAGGCTAACCTCCTGTGATCTTCCTACCTTAGCCTTCCAAATAGCTAGGATTATAGGCATATATCACAGTGCCCAGCAGGGTTTGGGATTTGTTTTTAAATTTTGCCTTTGAAAGGAGATTTGTAGATCAACTAGAAGTAGTTGCTGTAGAATGCGGGAAAATTTTAAGTGAAGTTTCAGAAAGAAAGGAGCCAATGGAAAGGAAATTATTGGAGTTGTTGAAATAAAGGGATAGTGAAGGGGTGAGGAAGATAATAAATGATGGGAGTGATTGAATGGTGCAGCTCAGTGGTAGTGTGTGTGCTTAGCATATGCAAAGACCGGTGTTAAATCCCTAGCACCAACAGAAAAGGGAAAAAAAAGAAAGAAGGAAAAAGAAGGGAGTAGGTAAGTCAAAGGATAAATGGAATTAGGATACTTAGTTTAAAAAAAAGAAAAAGAACCACAATGAGAATATGGTATTGATTTTTCTTAGCTGTCAGGTCATCTCTTAAAACTGAGGAACAAACAGAGTTAGGGTAGAGGAAGGTAATGAAATTTTAAAGTCACATGTAGTTGTGTGAAGGAATTGACTAGATATGAATATGATCACTGTGCCATGTTCGACATGCAGTTGATGATAGCACAGTTTCTCTTTATTATATAATTAAACTTTCTATATTGTACAGGGGCATATTACTAGGACATATAAAAATAGTCCTTGGCAACTATTAATTGCCAGATAGGTTTGACTTCCAATACTTGTGATCCAGTTTGTTTGTTTGTTTTATTATTTTATTTATTTATTTTTCATGTCTTCATACATGTACTTTGGATAATGATGTCCATCCATTCCACCATCATTTCTAACCCCATGCCCCCTCCCTGCCCCTCCCACCCCTCTGCTATTTTTATGATTTTATATTGTATTCATATTATTAAGCCTTTGATTACAGCTCAGTGGTGTAAAGTTAGAATTGTATAGTGCTTCCCAATGAGATATTTCTCTTTCAGTTTCCTGTGGGCCGCATCCACAGACACTTGAAGACTCGCACCACAAGCCATGGACGGGTGGGTGCCACTGCTGCCGTATATAGTGCTGCGATTCTGGAGTACCTCACTGCTGAGGTTTGTTGGGGCATATCTTGTATATGGGATTCCAAAACATTTTCTAAACTAAATGGATGAAACCATCAAATATATATCCAAAAAGACATATGTAGTCTTTATTTTTTTTCCTTCTTTTTTATTTTTGCCTTTATTTTATTTGTTTATTTTTATGTGGTGCCGAGGATCAAACCCAGTGCCTCGTGTGTGCTAGGCGAGCACTCTACCACTGAGCCACAACCTTAGCCCCCCTTTTTAATAGCAGTTTTAGATGTATCTTATAGGCCTGTCACCCAGTGTGTGTTAAAAAGAAACTTTGTATACTTACTTTTACAGTTAAGCAAGGTCCAGGAGTCTATAGACTTTTTTTAAAATATTCAGTTTTTAGTTACAGGCGGACACAATATCTTTATTTTATATTTATGTCATACTGAAGATCAAACACAGTGCCTCACGCATGCTAGCCCAAAGCTCTACCTCTGAGCCACAACCCCAATCCCAGGAGTCCATACTTTTAACTGATCTGACTAGGGTATAAAATACTGTGCTAATTAAGTAAACTCTGAAGTATATATATAGTAGAGTCAACAGTAAATATTTGTGATATTTAACAGTATAACCTCTTAGTTTATGAAAATTGGAGTGGGGTAAAGATTTGCCAAAGTGATGATATATAAAAATCAAAAGGTGGAGGGAATATAATATAGTTCAGTGATAGAATGCCTACCTAGCATATGCAAAGCCCTGAGTTCAATCCCCAATATTGCTTAAAAGAAAAAAAAAAAAAAAACTGGATGCAGTGGTGCACTCCTGTAATTCCAGCCGCTTGAGTGGCTGAGGTAGGAAGATCATGAGTTCAAAGGCAACCTCAGCAATTAACAAAGCTCTGTCTCTAAATAAAATATAAAAAAAAGGACTGGAGATGTGGCTCAATGGTAAAACGCCCCTGGGTTCAATCCTCCACTTCACAAAAAATCACAAATATATTATGATGATATCAGAAATAAAAGACCTGAAGATCTAGTCAGTCTTGGTTCTCTGCATGGTTGTACATAGATTGATATTTTAGGAAGATATATTATTTGGGCAAGAGTTTTTAATTCTTGGACCTTGGATTACCACTTTCGTCTGCAATGAAACTCCTTCAGCTACATTCCAGACCAGGCAAGTAATTTGAGTAGCCAGCAAGTCAAGTGGTATGGATAGATAGCAGATCTATAAAAAGGGAAAGTTCTTGCTTAATGGTGTGGATAACTAAACAGGAATTTAGGTTTAACCTGTGTGTCAGTTATTGTTGCTGTCATTTCATTATCATCTTCAAGTCATCTCTGTCCCATTGGAGATATAACATTGAATTACAGATAGTTTTAATTTTTTTTAACTTTTTTTAACTTTGTTGTGTCATAAGCAAGGGGTTTTACATGGGCCCTATAATGTTAGTTGAGGAGCCCTTTCTCCCTTCTCCATCTTGCACTAGTTTTTGTTTAGCTACAGACTACACAAAGGAGTAATTGTCCAGTAATGTTGAGGCATAGTATTGTGGCTTATAATGTTCAAGTTGCATCTAAATTCCCATTTTCTTTATCCTTTGGAAATGGTTAAATTCTTTTAAGTTAAGATTAAACAGGCTATGGGTGTAGCTTAGTGATAAAGCATATAACTAGTGTGCTTAAAGCTCTGGGTTCAATCCCAGCATAAAAAGAAAAAAAAGATTAGAAAATAAATATACTTTTAAAAGCAATCAACATATTCCAGATATTTAAATTTGGAATTTTTGTCATTCAGTAGAGGTAAATTACTGAAATCTAAGCCAAGAGTTAGGGTCAGGAGTAATCACTTTTCAATCTTTGCTTTGCACTAGAGTCATTTGGAGAACTTTCAAATGGGCTTCATTTCTCAAACCAATCAGAATCCCTAGAGAGAATGGGGAGGGTACTGGTGGTTTTAAAAACTCAACAGTTGATTGTGATGTACACCTAGTCTTAACTACTGCTCTATTTAAATGAGGAGGCGCTGTGTTTTTTTGTATTACTTTCATTAAAGTTATGATAATGCCAGTATAACAAAAATGCAGTGTTACAGCTAACTGAAACTTTGAAATTTCTCTAGTTAAAAATTCCCATTATAGTGTGAAAGGATTCTAGCTTATAGCCTATGGATTTATAGAGATCATTAACATTAAAACTTGTGAATAAGAAATTATTTTAAATTACATTTTTAAACTTTCCCTTTTTTTGAGTATTAATAAATAAATTCCAGCCACTAAAAGAAATGAACCACCAGATAGACTACATGATTACCTTTAATTTCTTTCTATATACAAATAGGCTTTGCTCAAGTTTCTGTTTGTTTCAGAGAATGAAAAAGGGTCAAGTGAATATAAAAAGGGTCAAGTAGGGGCTGGGGTTGTGGCCCAGTAGTAGAGCGCTCGCCTAGCACATGCAAGGCCCTGGGTTAGATCCTCAGCACCACATAAAAATAAATAAATAAAGATATTGTGTCCAACTAAAAAATATTAAAAATAAATATTTTTTAAAAAGGGTCAAGTAAAATAATGAGAGTTCTATGAAAGCATCATAGCAATATAGGAAAGAAATAGTGCATTGAACTCTTTAAACATTTTGTCCTTCATTTGATAAGTTATTTCATGATATGCCTTGTAGGTGCTGGAGCTGGCAGGTAATGCTTCCAAGGATCTCAAAGTAAAGCGTATTACTCCACGTCACTTGCAGCTTGCAATCCGTGGTGATGAAGAGTTGGATTCTCTTATCAAGGCTACCATAGCTGGGGGTGGTATGTATTATTAAACCTTGATTGTTATTGGTCTTTCTTACAAGTATATCTAGATCAATGATCCTTTGCATTTGAATGACTAACTAGAAAGCATATAAAATTTAGTTCCCCAAATCTTAAATCTGTTATTCCCCAAATCTTAAATCTGTTACAGTTCTAGGCTTCTTTTCATGATGATCTGAATAGATCTGAATAAATATTTGTTCTCCTTGTAGTCACATATAATACTATTTTAGCCAGTCTTTATCTAATGTCATATATGGTACTTTAAGCCTGATGCTTAAAATATTTTCCATTATCTTTAAAACTATTTTTTTTTTAAATTATCTTGAGAAATTGCTTAACATGATACCTTTGAATGGGCTAAAATACTGGAAATAGATCAGGATCAACAAAAGAGGTAATTTGGTGATTCTTAATTTTTTGGGATTATCCTTATAGAACCTCATGAAAGCTATTGTTACTCATTTCTAAAAATTCACATTAAATCAACTTTACTTATAATTTTAGAAGGGTTCACAGATCCTTGGGGGTAGTACTTAATGTAGATACCTTAATAGGAACAGAATGTGGAAAGGGACTTAAGTTTTTTTCTTTGTATATTTGCTCTTTTTTGCTTGAGGCTCTAAGGTGTTAAGATGTAGCCATCTAATCTGGGCATGGAGAAGGCATGCCCAACGGCTTAGGAGACTGAGGCGGGAGGATAGTAAGTTCAAAGCCAGCCTCAGCAATCTAGCAAGGCCCTAAGCTACTAAGTGAGACCCTGTCTCAAAATAAAATATAAAAGGGGCTGGGGATGTGGCTCAGTGGTTAGGCACCCCTGAGTTCAGTCCCTGGTACCAAAAAAAGAAAAACATGTAGCCAACTAAAAAATATTTTTAATAATAACTTGTTTTACTTTAATTTCATTCTAGGTGTGATCCCTCATATCCACAAATCTCTGATTGGAAAGAAGGGACAGCAGAAAACTGCTTAGAGGGTTGTTTTAACCAATCCTCTTCCTCCCGTCATTGTACTGTAACTGGGACAGAAGATAACAGTGGGGATGTGTGGAATTTTAAAAAACAGTTAAATGGAAAGGCATAGACAATTACTGTAGACATGCTAAAAGAAACATTTGTATGTTCTTAGACTCGAAGTTTGATAAAGTACCTTTTCATGTGGTGACAGTGTGTGTTGATTGGCTAGGTTTCTCCCATATGTTTTATACAAAAATGGAATTGATAAACCATTTTTTACAAAATTATTGTCTCAAAATTGTTCTGTTCATGATGTATTGAAAATATTTTGCTCAGCTTTTGAATTTTTTTAAAATCATAATCATTATTCAGAATAGTCTTAAAGTAGAAATTGGGAATATAGCTTTATCATGATTGATATTCCATGTTGTATTGAATGTTAGATGCTATCAATTTGTTATAATGCTCCATTATCCTATTATATACCACTAAGGAAGGAAAACTCCTTGAATTAATGCCATCAATTATAGGATACATCTCAATTTCAGAGATGTTAGAATATGGAAAAATATGCATTTAAGACCGAAATGGGGTAGTAGATTTACTGGAATCCTTTACTGAATACTTACCACGTGCCAGGCCCTGTGGTCAGTGCTTTACTAATCAAGAAATCTTATCACATTATAGACATTGTTCCTGAGGCTCACAGAAATTAAATGATCTGCCAAAAAATATTTAGGACTAACAGAGCAGAGCTAGAATATACACCTAGATCTTATTGACTCTAGAGCCCACACCCTTACCTAGATTTAATGTTAGATTTATCAAACATTTCTGCTTTTGGCTTAAAATTCCAACTTTTGGTGGTCTTTTATTGATATAGTAACAGTAATTTGTACAATCTTTTAAAAATTATTTTTCGTTGTCAGTTTCTAAATAACTGTTAGAAGATTTAAGTTAATGTACTAATTAATGGTCCATCAGAAAATTCTATTTTTCTGTCTGGAAATCTTCATAAAGAAGGAAATTTTTGATGTTTTATAGTATAACACTATCAAAACAAAACTCAATTTTAAAAATATTTTATTATGGAAATCCTCACAAATACACAAAAATAAAGAGAACAGTATGATTAAGCCCATCTTCCAACTTCGGTAGTTGTGGTCAGTCTTATTTATCCATATCCTCACCTGCTCCCTACCAAATGGATTGGTTTGAATCTCATTATAGTTATAATGTTCTCATATCTGTATACTTTAGAGAAGTACTTAAACATCTGTGTAAATGAGAGACACTGTCTTAAGATGACTAAAACATTTTTTAAAATGATACCGTACATTCAAATTTTCCACTGTTTTTGTGTATGTGCAATACTGAATATTGAACCCACAGGCTCACACTGCCTAAGCAAGTGCTCCACTGCTGAGCTACATCCCTAACCTTTTTCATTTTATTCTGAGACAGATTCTTGACAAATTACCCTGGCTGGCCTTGAACCTAATATCCTCCTGCCTCAGCCTCCTGAGAAGCAGGGATTACAGAGTGTGCCAGTACACCTGGCTATCATACTTTTTTTTTTTTTTAATAGTTGATTTGTTTGAATCAGGATCCAGATAAATCTCTGTATCTCAGATTTTGTTGGTATCTCTTAAGTTCCATTTTAATTTTATTTGAAGAAACTGAGTTGTCTTATAGAACTGTCCCTTAGTGTGGATTTTACTAAACACATTCTAATGATGTCATTCAGATTTTCCTGTCCTCTCCTTATATTTCCTGTAAAATATCATTAATCTAGAGGGCTTTTGTTGTTGTTGTTGTTGTTACTTTTAAGATTGATGATGAGTTCTGATACTGCCAGCCCATTAAAAGTTCTGTCAGCTTTTCCCCTAATGGTTTTGGCTACCATTAGTGATACTTACCCAGATCCAGGATTCCATTAGGGGTCGCCAGCCAATGATATCATATCATTCCTTCTGTATCTATTAGCTGAAATGCTTATGAACTTTTACTTATCCATTTATTTTTATGTTTATTTTTTATTTTATTTTATTTTTTATGGTTCTGGGAATTGAACCCAGGGCCTTGTGCATGCGAGGCAAACACTCTACCAATTGAGCTATATTCCCAGCCCTACTTATTCATTTATAAGGCAGGGTAAGATAGACATTTCAAATTCTGACCATTCTCTGGGCCCACATTTTCAAGTTTCTTTATGAAGAGTCATGTGTGAGGTTTGAATAGTTTTCAGAAACACAAAGCAGTAGAAGGTGAAATAGCACACCTTTGAATCACTTGCATAAAGGCATTTTTACTAGAGTTATCTAGTTAATTGCTTCAAGTGAGTTTTTGTACCTTCTGTATCCCCAGGATTGTATTTTATCTTCTAACAAATGTAGAACAAAGGGCTGGAGATGTAGCTCAGAGGCAGAGCTCTTGTCTATCGTGTGAGGCCCTGGATTGAATCCTTAGCACCACAGAGAAAAAAGAAAAAGTGTAGGATAATTAGGCCATGTACACAGCCTAGCTTCTAGTTAAGTCATTCATGTTGCATCCAACCCACTGGGATATTTTAAAGTGTGTTCCAGCTGTTATGTCACTTCATCCATATTTTTTTATTTTTTGGAGGGGGGCTACTAGGACTGAACACAGAGATGCTTAACCACTAAGCCACATACTCAGCCCTTTTTATATTTTATTTTGAGACAGGATCTCTCTGAGTTGCTGGGGCTGGCTTTGAACTCACAATCCTGCCTCAACCTCCCGAGTTGCTGAGATTACAGGCATGTGTCAGCTCCAAGCGATACCTGTTTTAAATAATTTCAGATTTGTATTTTAGATCAGTAAACTCAGAGAAGTAGAGGGGAAAAAAAAAATTTTAACAAAAGGTAGAACTTAAATGATCTAGAAGAATGGGAAGAGTCCAGTAGGGAAACAATATGAAAGAGATCTTGGGAATAAAGAATGGCATTTATATGAGGAGTTATGAAAAATGGTCTGAAGAGTATCTGATGTAAGGATGGAAATAAGAAAGGTAATGCTGGCTTTGGTGCCTGAGGCTTTATTGCAAAGGTTCCTTTTTTTTGGACATTTTTATTATGAAAGTTTTTCTAATATGCAAAACCATTAAGCAGTGAATAATTCTTATACCCACTACCTAGAATCTACAAATAACATATCACATAGTTCATTTGTGGAATGGCCCTTATTTGCTCCTTGTTTTTATTCTCTTGTCATTTCTTGGAGAAAGTGTTCTTCCATCAGATGAGGTCATCATGTAGGATGATTAGGAGGTCTGGGTGAGTATAATGGGACTTAATAAGTTGCCTCTGGAATAGGAGAATTGTGGCCCCCATGACTTCCCCTCCTGTGATATTAAACTTGTATATTGCGTTATGTTGTTAAAGGGGCTTTGCAGAATATGTGGACATTTGCTTCTCAAATAAGTAAATCCAATTTTAAGCAAGATGCTTGATCTGCTGAGGTGGAGCATTGATTTAAAAGTAATTTCAGATTTAAAGGTAATTTGATCCAGCGACTTGGGAGGCCTAAGCAGGAAGATCTCAGGTTCAAAGCCAGCCTCAGCAATTTAATGAAGACCTGAACAGCTCAGCGAGACCTGTCTCTAAATAAAACAACAACAACAAAAAGAAGGGGGCTGTGGATTTGGTTCAGTGGTTAAGTGCCCCTAGTTTCCATCCCCAGTACAAAAAAAAAAGGTAATTTAAGAGCATTTTGTGTGTGTACTAGTAGTTTCCTGAATGCATAAAATGTTCCATTTACACATTTGGCCTTTTGGATAAGCCACATTGCTATAGTATCAGCCATGCCAACATCTCAAGGGAAAACTTGGTCTGGGGGCCTTCAGATGCTGGTCAGGTGGGAATTCAAGTGGAGTGATATATGTGTAGTGTTCATTTCTCAGTTTTTGTTTCATAAGGGAACCCCAAGTCAACCAACCTGAAATATGTGAAAATTGAAAACCATCCCAGTAAAAAATATACTTTTCCACAATCTACCATGAACATTTTGGGGGGAACTGTATTGAACCTAAGGGTATTCTACCACTGAACTACATCCCTAGCCCTTTTTACTTTTGAGGCAGGGTCTCACTAAATTGCCCAGACTGACCTTAAATTTATAATCCTCTTGATAGCCCCCAAGTCAATGGGATTTTAGCACAGGTTACTGGATCCAACTATTTTTTTATTTATTTTTGTACCAGAGATTGAAAACCAGGGGCACTTAACCACTGAGCCACATGTCTAGCCATTTTTTATTTTGAGACAGGGTCTTGCTAAGTTGCTTACAATCTTGCTAAATTGATGAGGCTTGCTTTGAACTTTCGATCCTCCTGTCTCAACCTCCCAAGCTGCTGGGATTACAGGTGTGGGCCACCATGCCCAGATAATATTTATCTTAAAGTGCAAATACATGGTGCTAATGTCTTTTGGGGTAAGACCCAACCCAGCTGCTGGAATTGTTTGGACATCTGGCAGGGGGAAAAGTATGTTGGAATATTTTTGAAGGAACAGGGCATTTTGCTTTGAGAGCTGTAGATATATGAGAGATTTTTTTTCAAGAGGAGAAGATAGGAGAATTGTGGCCCCCATGACTTCCCCTCCTGTGATATTAAACTTGTATGTTTCAACATGTAGTTAAAGGGGCTTTGTAGATGTTATTATCTAGACAATTAGCCTTAGAAGCAGAAGAGGAAATAGGAGACAAATTCAGAGTACTGGCAGTACCACTGCACCTGAAGATAGAAGGACTACACGTAGAACAGAAGGAGATTAATCCTGCTACTAATCAGTGAGTTTGGAAGAGGACTCTGAGGCACAGAGGAGAACATTGGCCTCAGTCAATGGCTGATTTTAGTTTAGTGAGACCATGAGCATAGAGTTAACTATGCTGCCTCAGACTTCTGATCTACAGAAACTTGCTGAAAGCCACCAGGTTTGTGATCATTTGTTACAACAATGGAAAATAGAGGAATATGTCCCTACAGGATTGAGACTAAGACTTCAGGTCCCTATGGGATTGAGATTTACGATTTATTATAAGAAAAGTCTCTAAAATCCTTTTTTTTTTTTTTTTTTTAAGTTTTTAAGTAGTTCTGGAGTCAGATACACCTGGGTTCAAATCTTTGTTGGCTGGTTCCTGGTTTTGTGGCTTCACCCCTTCAAGTCTGTCTTCATCCCTAAAAGACAGCTAGCAGTACCTACCTACCCCTTGATCTCTCTGAGAACACATGCATCACATACAATGCCTTGTGCCCAAAGAGTTC